CGCGAATGGAATGTTATTTTCTGCACAACCTTGAAGTTTATTTCGTTAGTAACAGAATTAAATATTGTCACATTATATGCCATGATAAGTTATTATTTTTGCAGCATGCTATCCTGTTCGCGAATGGAATGTTATTTTCTGCACAACCTTGAAGTTTATTTCGTTAGTAACAGAATTAAATATTGTGTTGTCTTCTCCTTTCACATGGAATCAAACATAATAATTTGGTATGAATTTGAAATCTGAAGACTAAAGTATTATGCTGCCTCTTTAGTTGGCAGGATTCAGCCCTCGCGTCGTCCACGCTGGGCGACTCGGGGGACCCTACCGCCCCAGCCGCCGGCCACCCCTCGCTGACCTTCCTCCCCCCGCCGCCGCCGGAGGAGGTCGTCCCACGGCGGACGGCGGCGGCAGGGCGCTCCAGACAAGCATCACATTACATGCCATGATAAGTTATTATTTTTGCAGCATGCTATCCTGCTCGCGAATGGAATATTATTTTCTGCACAACCTTGAAGTTTATTTCGTTAGTAACAGAATTAAATATTGTGTTGTCTTCTCCTTTCACATGAAATCAAACATAATAATTTGGTATGAATTTGAAATCTGAAGACTAAAATATTATGCTGCCTCTTTAGTTGGCAGGATTCAGCCCTCGCGTCGTCCGCGCCGGGCGACTCGGGGGACCCTACCGCCCCAGCCGCCAACCACCCCTCGCTGACCTTCCTCCCCCCCGCCGCCGCCGGAGGAGGTCGTTCCACGACGGACGGCGGCGGCGGGGCGCTCCTGCCTGTTTCTTTTTCATTAGCCTGGGCACTCTTCACCGATCCAATCATCTCGGATCTGATCTAGGCTTGCGCTTCAGCCGGCGGCCGGATCAAGTCTGCACGCACAATCATACCCCAGCGCCTGTATGCATGTACATGGGGCAGGATGCATTAGACCTGCATGTAAATCACTGGTGGCTTACTGCTCTAGACGTGCATCCAACTCCGACGTTCAGTCGGAAGGCCGGCGACCTGCAAAATAGGAAGGCCATGACGCAGTATTGCGGCGGCCAGATCATGAGGACAACGACGCAGGACGGCGGTGGCCGGATCGTGAGGTCGACGACACAAGATGGTGGCGGTCAGATCATCAGAGCACCGGCAGCTGCTCGTGGACGCGGGTCTGGTCCAGGCGACGCAATGTTGCGACCGGACCGAGTTCATGGGTTCTGTGGAGTCCGTGGTGTCGCCAGCAATCTGCCGTTGCAGTACATGGACCGCCGGGTGATGAGCCACTCGCGGACGTACGTCTGGTTCACGCGACGCAGAGTTGCGATCGGAGTGAGTTTGTGGGTGCCAGAGGTGTCCGTGGAGTTGCCGGCAATCAACTGCCGCAACACATGGACCGTCGGGCGCCAAGAGTGATCGTTCCCAACAACAGGCTCAGGAGGGACATTACATGGCAGGTTTGCTTTGCGGGGTTGGTGCGGTTAAGCTCCTTGACCAGATCTCCGCACCAGCAATCAGTCTAATTTTCTGTCACTGTCCTCTGTCATTCTTGTGGACCTATCACACTCCGATTTGTCGGCACCATGAGGTACGCCGAGGCATATTTACCGGCAATTACCGTGGTGCTAACAATGATGGGGAATCTCAAGATGGTTTTGCCGGATCAAATGACCAGTGGATCTCGATGGCTCATGTGGAGTTCGAGATTTCAAGTGACGACAGAGGCGAGTTTGGTTGTGGTGAAGATTGTGGACCAGATGATCGGCGTTTTGCAGGAGTACCAGCTAGCAGGCACGACAGCACATGTGGACTTCTTATTGGTGGTGCTCTTTGGGCACAAAGTCTCGACTTCCGGGGTGAAAACCCTTGGTCCGACCTTCACTGGTTGTACCTGGCAATGGCGGATCACTATTCGTCTCCTTGTTTAAGGCATTGCTTGGAGTTCAGTCAGTCTTTCTTCAGGATGAAAACCCATGATCTGTGATCAGGCGACGACTGTGTTGGTGCACGGTTTCCTTCTTGGAGGCGTCGTTCTTGGAGAACCTTTTTTGCATTTCTTGTGTGGTCTATTGTGGTGGTAGTTCCTCCTACTTCGCTGATCCGTTCGGCGTTTTTCTTTTCTTTTTTCTTTTGCCTGTGTGCATCCTTGATGTCTCAACTAGCCCTTGACATTATGTTGTTGCAGAGGCCGGGTGTAATTGATATCCGATTGATATTAATATATTCCCATTTTCGAGAAGAAAAGCAAATGGCATGTTGAATCATATAATAATTGAAAACACAAAAAAGTTTGATAGAAGTTGTTTGGTTGCACACAAACTAAAGTTTCCATGAGGTTGGACTCATTGGGATTTTGCAATACAAAATGGATTCTAGAAAATATTTCTATGATTTCAATCCTACATTTTTTTTATAAGAGATAGAATCCTCCAAAATTCCTACAAAATTTCTTTCAACCAAGGAGGCACTGAAACGTTTCCCCTTGTTTGGGGTTATGTACAACCACACCTGACAACTCCATTTAGACGAAAACATCGCAGATAGGATTCACTTTGTCATGGCATGGCCTGCTTCCCGGGTCAACTCCTTGCCTTCCCGTCTTACTTCATTCCTATGCCTTGTGGTAGGACTAGGAGGACTTGCAAACTAGAAGAACAGATGAAAGGATGGGGCAAACCATAACTTTGTGCGCCGCGCCTTTGACCAGATGAAGCCACAAGCATGGTACAGCCCGCAACCAACCTGAGAAGTTCTCCTTGACAACTTCCGGTACCACCAAATAGCAAGATGGCCCAGAATGTGGTAATGGATCACTTTGTGCTCCTGTGACCAGCTGAAGCCATCAGCGTTGCTACAGCCGCAATGAACATCAGCAGCATGAACACGAGCAGAGTGTACGTTTTCTTTGACGACTTCCGGTACTCCCCGAATAGCACGATGCCCCAGAATGTGCTCACAAGTGGCAATGCCTGATAAACAGCAATGCAGAAGCAGTTAGAATCATAGGTGTAGAGAAGTTTCCTCTTCATTCTGAAAATCATATCTACCACAGGATATGTTTTAGAGATTCAATATTATTTTAACATCTTGATTGAATCACACAGAATGCAAACATGGTGCATTTCTCTTCAGATGTAAAGATGTTTTTTTTTACGGTGCTGGATGCGAACATATAAGAACCACGAGACATTGGTTCAACCAACCTCAACAGCATCAGCTGCAGCATAACCAGCAGCCTGACCACCCATGAACTGGAAGCCATTGCCCAAACCACAAAGGAGACCGGCAAGAAGAGCCCATTGCCTGCCTTCCCAGTCATTCAGATAGGCCTTGAAGGATGACTTTGGCACGCCGGTCATTGGGCGGTAGAGGAACAAGATGTTCAACCCGATACCAATGACAAACATGATATGGAGAAGTAGAAGAAGGCAGTGTATACAACCAGATGTTGGACACGGTCTTTCAGGATGTGCACTGGTCATTGGTGGCCAGATTGAGTGCTGGAGAGAAGAGTGCGAGGCAGACACCAGCAAAGAAAACTAGCCCAAGCCCCTTGAGCTTACTCGATCCAAATACCTGGAAAATGAAGAAGTTTGGCTAGATCAGTTCATTGATGTTGCGAAAACAGAGGTTCAGAACAAACATCTTGTACTATCTGAATTATTCCACAATGACTTGTGACAGAATTATGAGTTTACCTTAATTGAACGCCGCCCTTCGAGCTCAATTAGGTATTTTGCAGTTCCTGCCTCAGCTCTGGTGGCATCTTCTGCAGAAGCTCCATTCTCTATGTCCACTACTGCATCTCAAATAGGCAAAGTTAGGAACTAGAATTTGCAACTGCAATACATCAACAATACCAGTAGTCATGCACCATATATAACTCGTGTGCTTGGCTCCATACCTCCATTTGTCCTGTTAATTTAGACATTATAGTGATCAGAGCAGCAAAAATAAGACGTAAAATGGTTTACAAAGATTGACATCTAATGCACCTAGCCGATGTAAGTGAACCAGTGGGTAATGTGACTGTGTGTGACGAAAAAATGTGCTAGAAAGTGAGACCATGTTACCCAAGGTTGTAGACATTTGCGGATTCACTTAGTTTTTCTTCATTATCCGCTGCATTAGAAGCGTGTACAGCAGTCCCAAGGATGACTGCAACAAGGAAGCATGCCACTCCAGTGAAAAGAATATCTGCGACCCTCCTCGACCCGCTAATCCCATTACCTAGGTTAGCGCAGACGATGACGGGCGACACCGCGGGCGGCATCGCGGGCGCTCCCGCAGCCGGTTGCGCCGCCGCCGCCGAGACTCCTCTGTCGCCCTCCCCTTCTCCCTCCCTGCAGGCCCCCTCGCCCGCGGCTCCGCCGCCGCTCCCCGCGCCGGCCGCCTCCGCGCCGGCTGCCCCGGGCGCCTCCTTCCGGTGGGCCGATTGCGCGGACGACGCCC